GTATTTATCCCTGTTCCCAAATCACCATGACTATCAGGTATTGTGTATAGGACACTTTTATGGAATGTCTGGGATGTTCATGGGGAAGCTAAGCATTCACAGAAGAGGGTGTAAAATTAAAACTGAATATTAGACATCACTGGTGTAAAATTCTCCCCCAACAGTCCTCCTACTGGAATTTCTCTCTGATGAAGCTTCTTCTCAGGTTGCTGTCATTTACTAGCCCTCCTTTTTCTAGGGAATTAGCACAGAACATGCCAAAAGTCCCATCAATTTCATATTCAGCAAATGTACCATAACTCCGTGACACCTTCCTATCAAGGTCATGCCCAAAGGCTCAACATGTTGTTTCTGATCACAAGAGCTATTGAGGCCTCTGAAAGGAATGTGAAATTGCAACTCTCTTTTTAAATTAGCTTTTTCCTCCGTTACATATAGTTGGGAGATAAGAAAAGACTCTCGCCGAAACCAGTTTAGCTCAGTGGTAGACTGTGGACTGTGGACTGAAAGGTCCCAGGTTCGATTCCGGTCAAGGGCATGTACGTTGGTTGCGGGCACATCCCCGGTAGTGGGTGTGCAAGGGGGCAGCTGGTCGATGTTTCTCTCTCATCGATGTTTCTAGCTCTCTGTCTCTCTCCCTTCCTCTCTGTAAAAGATCAATAAAATATATATTTTTTTAAAGAAAGAAAGAAAAGAAAAGAAAAGAAAAGAAAAGAAAAGAAAAGAAAAGAAAAGAAAAGAAAAGAAAAGAAAAGAAAAGACTCTCCAAGTAGTGACTTGGGGGCTGGTCTTGAATCAGAAAGAAAATTCTAGCAGGCTAAGAGATTGGAGGGATGTGCCTGGGGAAGCAAGGAAACAAGACTCTGTGGCAGGATGAGGGAGAGACTCCAAGAACTGAGAGGTGAAAGGTCAAAGGGCCGTGTTCTAGCATCTTGACATGAGGTCCAAAGGATCATGTGGACCCATGAAAGGATTTTAAGCAGAGAGAGAAAAAACAAAAAACAAATTCAAGCTTCAGAAAAAGGACAGAGTAAGGTGATACCATTTGTTAACTATCAGAATGACAGACCTAAAACAGCACTGATGAAGATGTGCAGAATGTAGCATGCTTTAACACACTGCTAGAAGAGTAAATGGAACAAGCATTTTGGAGAGGAGTTGGGCAATTTTGGGAAAGTGATGGAGAAATGGAGACTCCAAGGGCCTGGAGCAACCTATCTCGGACTTTCAGACTGGATAAAAACACAGGTGTTGGAAATCTGGGGAAATGGAGGGACAAGGGCAAGGCACAGGTACAGGCTCTGGAGAGCCAATTCTCTTCTCAGTCACTATTCAGTGACATTATGTCAGTAGCTTGAAATGGGCCATAGTTGGGTATTTATACTGCAAAAGCTGTAAATGCTACAAAACAAGACTTCCTCTCTTCCTGCCCCCAGAGAGCAGTTTAACAGCATTTCACTTACTGCCTGAGCCAATCCTCATCCAACAACCCCTTGAATTCTTTCAGCAATGGCTGCACTTTGACCTTACATGCCACCAGAAAGCCCAGGCCTGCTGCTTTGGGCTGGCCCTTAAGAAGCCTACTGGGCTCTAAGTGGTCTCCCTAGGCCTATCCAGTTCGTGCTTGATATTCTAAAAAAGTAAAGGAGCCTAAACCGGTTTGGCTCAGTGGATAGAGTGTTGGCCTGTGACCTGAGGGTCCCAGGTTCGATTCCGGTCAAGGGCATGTACCTTGGTTGTGGGCACATCCCCATTAGGGGGTGTGCAGGAGGCAGCTAATTGATGTTCCTCTCTCATCAATGTTTCTAACTCTCTATCCCTCTCTCTTCCTCTCTGTAAAAAATCAATTAAATATATATATTTAAAAATAAAGAAGGACTGGAAAAAAATTTTTAAAAATTAAGTAAAGGACTGGGGAAAGCACCTCTTTCCAGCTGTGTGGGAGCAGAGAAAAATGGGGAAATGACAGGACAGGTAGCTGGACCTCCTTCCATGCAGAAGCAGGAAGCCCTCATCTCAACTCTAACAGTCATAGACAAGCCTCTTGTCTAATGGGCTCTGCACCCTTAACCACTATATATCACCTCCCTGTAGAAGTCACCGGAATTGGTAAAACTTGGATGCTGGAGGGAGGGGGAATGAAGAATTGAAGATCACCGTCAGATTTCAGGCTTGAATGCCCAGGTAGGCTCTGGTGAGATGTGAGCATAGGAAGAAGAAGAAAAGATCTGAAAGGGTGTATTGGAGTTAATAATAGTTCTTTTGGGACTCGGTGAATTGAAGTGCCTGTGGAACAACAAACAGAGATGTCTGAGAAGTAACTGGAGAATTTTAAGATCAAGAGAGTGATAAAGACTTGGGAATTACTGCTATATAAATGCAAGTGACACTATGAGATCACTTAGGCACTCTAAAAGGCAAAGCAAGGATATGTGGGGAACAGCAACGTTTAAGAGAAAGAGCAAAGAGAGAAAGAAAAGGAGTGGGGAGTGGGGAGTTGTTACGGGGTGGAGAGTAGGAGGAACTAGGAGAATGTGATACATCGTAGAACCCAAAGAAGGAGAAGAATATCAAATGTTGCCGAAAGGTGGAGTATGATAAGGATTAGATGAGAGACACAATGAGGTTATTGTGGCTGGGCCAGAGTAAAGACAGTGGTAGGAGATGAGATTTAAGCAGGCAGGGACGAGGTCAGGCAGGATTTTGTGTGCCATTAGGAGGTGTCTGGATTTCTAAGTGCAGTAGGATCATTAGAGGGATTTAGCAGGAGAGCAAAGAAATACGATTTGCAGTCTACACTTATCACTACATTACGTGGGGGACATATTGAAGGAGTAGAATGGAGACAGGAAGCTATAGCGGTAACTCAGACTTGGACTAGGATAGTAGGAGAAGAGGTGGTAAAAAGTGTTCAGATTCAGGATACATTTTTTAAAAATATATCTGGGTACTAATAAAAAATAAGAGATATCTGATTGAGCTCAAGATAAGAGAAAGATAGAAACTAAAGAGTCCTGAGGTTTTGGGTTTAATCAACTGAGTAGATAGTGTTGCCATTTATAGAAGTGAATAAGACTGGGGAAAATAAAATAGGTCTAGGCATGGGAACCAGATCAAGAGTTTTATTTTGGCTATCTTAAGAATAATATGCCCACTGGACATACAAGTAGAGATGCAATCCAAATCTGGAAGAAAGTTAGACATTAATTTTGAAATCATCAGCATATACATACCGTCAAGGCCACGGGCCTGTATGGACATTAAAGCTGTATTTCCTCTCTCACTTGACCTGACAGAGGTTGGGTGGCCATTGATGGGGGGCTGGAAGAGGCATCCAACATCATCCCCATTGGGCAAAGATTCCTGTCCAGCTCTTGAACCTGAGAGCTGGATAGGAATCAGGACTAACCTGGCTCAGAGACTTGGTGCAGAGAAATTATGCCAGAGAAACTAACACCTCACAGGAAGGCTGAGGATTTCCATTTCCCTCCTCTTTCTCCCCTCCCCTCTAAGGTGCCATTCCATTCCCTGTGGACTTGACAAATGTGCTATGTTAGGAGCATTAATTTGGGAGAAAGAGAGAAAGGTGATATTAAGGACACTCAAATCTGTAGAGCCAGCAATGGGAGCTCCAGTTCCCTGTGGAAGTTTATGTTGCATATACCCTGCCCCTATCTTCCCGCCACCATCCTCCCCTCCCCCACTCCCGCAACCTGGCCTGCAAGAGTCAAAGCTCTTGAGAGTTGACACAAAAGCCATCCATAGTTACTGCCCTCCAGGAGAAGGCCTGGGCTTCACCCAAGAGGTCATGCCCACTATTCTGCTGCTAATGTGAAGATGAGCAGGAGCTGAAGAGCTGAGATCAACCATCCCCTGATTTCAAGTCAACCAGATAAAAATACTAAAGACTAGCCCTGACTGGTTTGGCTCAGTGGATAGAGCATCGGCCTGCGGACTGAAAGATTCCAGGTTAGATTCCTATCAAAAGCATGTGCTTTGATTGCAGGCACGTCCCCAGTGGGAGGTGTGCAGGAGGCAGCTGATCAATGTTTCTCTCCCATTGATGTTTCTGATTCTCTATCCCTCTCCCTTTCTCTCTGTGAAGAATCAATAAAATATATTTTAAAACAATACTGAAGACTAGTGCTTCTCTAACTTTAATGTGTATTCAAATCATCTGGGGATTTTGGTAAAATGCAGATTCTATTTTGATACATCTCAGGTAGGGCCCAAGATTCTGCATTTCTAACATGCTCCCAGGTAATGCTTTTGCTGCTGGTCTACGGACCACACTTTGAGCAGCAAAGAATGAGAGGCAGCTGTGGAGCTACCCACAATGAGAGGGGCATGTCCAGTCCCAGGGAGAATGTGTTCCCTTGTGCACAAAGTCACAGAACCTATTAAAATGGAAATAGCCACCGTTTTGTTGTGGTTGTGTGGCAGGTGGTCATTTCTTAGCACTGCACTTTCCAAGAGCATCACATGGTTGTTAAGCACTTGGGTTCCTGAGCTTTACCTCTGAGTACGCATGTGATCTGAGGCAAACCTTCAACTTCTCTTCATCTCAGTTTGCTCACCTCTCTAATGGGAGTAATAGACTATTGTGAGGATTAGCTAAGTCAAAAGATACGAAGCACTTAAAACATAGCAGCACAGTAAGTGTTCACTGTTAGTAAATGTTACTATTTTTGTTGATAACACACCCTCTACAATAGTCAACTTAGACACACATGGACACTTAGTCTCCTTTTGGTACATGGTCAAATTATAACCCCATCTCCCTCCCACCAAAAAGCCTGTATCCTCTCTTTCAAATGCCTCCTACCCGCTGTCCCTCTCCCCCTCCTCTGGCCCCTCGCCCCAGTGTGGTCTGGGGCAGGGACAGGGACAGGACGTGGGGCTGTATCTGACAGGAACCTGAGGGGCTGGCCTGGGAGGGGATTGGGGCCCGGCTTCCTGAAGGGAGGATGGGCTAAGGCAGGCACACAGTGCCGGAGAAGATGCCCTCCTGGGCCCTCTTGGTGGCCACCTTCTGCCTCCTCCTGGCTCCCCCAAACCTGGCACAAGTCACCAGCCAAGGTGAGGTGTGTGGAGGGTGGATCTCACCTCTAGCCAGGAAGAGGGAGCCCTGGGAGGGATGCGAGTTAGGAGGCTCCCACTGGTCCCCTATCTTTCTCAAACATGCCTGGAAGGACCCAGAGCCCAACTCACCAGCTGTTCCTCAGATGCTTCCTTGCCGGCCTTGGATTCAGAGCCTCTGACGTGTTTTTCTCAAACATTTGAGGACCTCACTTGCTTCTGGGATGAGGAAGAGGCAGCACCCAGTGGAACATACCAGCTGCTGTATGCCTACCCAGGGTATGTGCTGGGCTGTGCCCCACTCCCCTGCACCTGTCCTGTTCCTACCTCAGCTGAGCCCTGCTCCAGAAGCTTTCCCTGCCTTTGGCCCCATAAGACCGTGGTCAGCAAACTGCAGCTCACATACGGCTCTTTGGCCCCTTCAGTGTGGCTCTTCCACAAAATACGACCTGGGCGAGTCTGTTTTGAAGAAGTGGCGTTAGAAGAAGTTTAAATTTAAAAAATTTGGCTCTCAAAAGTAATTTCAATCATTTTACTGTTGCTATTTGGCTCTGTTGACTAATGAGTTTGCCTGCCACTGCTATAAAAGAATTATTTCAAGTATATGCCTTAAGTAGCCACTTAATGAACTGATGTGCTTTGGATATATCCAGCTCAAGCCCCTAATAACCCTTCATCCAACCTATCCCAGCACTGAGAAAAAGAAAAAAGAAAAAAAGACAGTGATGGAAATAGAAGTAGGGCTTGGGGCCAGCCTGGGTCCTGGGGGTGGCTGGGTAGGTAGGATGGACTTTTCCTATGTCCACAGGGAGGAGCCCCGTGCCTGCCCCCTGAGTTCCCAGAGTGTGTCTCCCTCTGGAACTCGATATGTGTGCCAGTTTCCAGCCCAGGATGAAGTTCGTCTCTTCTTCCCACTGCACCTCTGGGTGAAGAACATGTTCTTGAACCAGAATCTGACCCAGCGGGTGCTCTTTGTGGATAGTGTGGGTAAGGGCCATCCTCCATCACCCTGGCTCCTCTATCTGCTGCCCGCAGGCTAGATCATAGAGTCAGACCAGTTGGTGCTCTTTCAGGACATGCATGCCCTCCATTACTAGACCCCCCAGAGGCACCTGAAGACACCCTATCATTCCTCCCAGCCTTGGCATCAAGACCTAGACTTCATTTCACATCAGAGATACCCTGGCCCTCCCATCCTTAACCTATCATTTACACACTCATTCAACAGTGCCAGGAGCAATGCTAGGTGACAGGTATACAGAGACCCCTGCTCTTGAGGAACACTGAGTCTAACTAACTTGGAAAGAGGTCACTGTTCTCATGAGGAAAGGAGAACAGGCTACAGAGTCTCCTGGTGCTGCCTTCCAAGAGAGCCAATCCAGTCTCGAGCACCCCCCTCTACAATCCATGGGCTCAACTGTAGACTGTGGTATTCAGAGAGTTCTGATGTGCCCTATCTTGCCCTCAGGCCTACCAGCTCCCCCCAATATCATCAAGGCCATGGGTTGGAGCCAACCAGGGGAACTTCAGATCAGCTGGAAGGTCCCAACTTCTGGATTCAGTGATTTCCTGAGGCATGAACTCCGCTATGGCCCCAAGGATCCCAGAAACTCCACTGGTCCCACAGTCATGCAGTTGCTATCCACAGAAACCTGCTGCCCAGCTCCGTGGAGGCCAAACCCAGCCCCAGCTCTGGACCAGGCTCCATGTGCACAGCCCCAACAGAATGGAGCAGAGCAGACCTCCCCAACTAGAGAAGTATTCTGGCCTTCTTCCGCTCTACTTCCTATCTCCTACCCCGAATTTTGCCCCAAGAAAGGACAGGCCGTACTTTGGGAATACTAGATTGGGTTGGTCCTTGGGGAGTTAGTACAAACTCTGATTGGTCCTCAGGAACTGTGTCTATTTAGGGATCTTCCACTTTGGATCATTCACACCAACAAAGTTGAGAGCTCCGGGCCTCCAAATGAATGGGGACTTCCCTCAAAACCCCTAAACACCACCTGAAACCCACTGACCTAGCCTCCAGGCTGTGTGCATATCTATCCAGTAAGGAACTGAGGATCTCTCCACAGGAAGGCTGTGGGGCTTCAAATATAAGAGATGGAGGCTATGTTGGCTGAGAGGCAGACCTAGATTCTGAGACTGGGATTCTTCTTTCAAGGCTCCGTCTCTGACAGGGATGAGTGGAAGCTGCCTCATCTCAGGGCTCCAGCCTGGAAATTCCTACTGGCTCCAGCTGCGCAGCCAGCCTGATGGGGTCTCCTTCCGTGGCTCTTGGGGACCCTGGTCCCACCCTACAACTGTGGACCTGCCTGGAGATGCAGGTGAGTCATAAAGGAATAGGGAGATGAAGAGAAAATACAAAGGTCTTTAGGGAGGCATGGGCTGGACATGGAAACTCTGATAATCCTGGTCCTTCCTGATGATCTCAAACTTGCTACAGAGAGAACTATGTTCAGGGAGAAAACAAAGAATAGAAGTGAATGTTCCAAGTTATATATGTAAAGATGATCTGGATATCATATAGAGTAGAAGCCTGTGGACCCTAATGTGACTTCCTTCTCCGATCCAGTGGAAATTGGACTACAATGTTTTACCCTGGACTTGAAGAATGTTACCTGTCAGTGGCAGCAACAGGACCATGCTAGCTCCCAAGGCTTCTTCTATCACAGCAGGCCGCGGTGCTGTCCCAGAGACAGGTGAGAGTTGGGCTACTGGTTGAGTTTGATGTCATGGGAGAAAGGCACAATCTTGCCAAAAGAAGGGAGAGGTTGTTCTTGGTCCTCTCACTCCTCTCCCTGTCCCAAAACCAAATGGTCTCCATGCTCTCATCCTCCACTGGGTGTTTTATCTTCTCAACCTCTCTCCATTCCCACTGGGGATGTTTTGGTTTAGCTCAGTTTTAATCATGTCACCGGGAACCACTGCAACAGCCTATATCCTCATTCACCTCCAATTCATCCCCCATGCTGCTGACAGAGTGACCTTTGTTAAATCAGATTTTGCCTGGCCTTCCTTATTCAAATATGTCCTGCAACTTTTCACTGTCTATCAAATCCATCAAAATGTTGCCTTTTCCTCCCTCTCTAAAACCAATAAACGTATCTTTAGGTGAGGATAAAATACTTTCTTCTGACAGAATTCCAGTTGGAAAGGGCTGATCTTGACTATGCAGGATCCATGAGGGCAAAGTCTGTTTTCACTCACCAATGTATCACAGTGCCTGAAACATAGTAGGTGTTCAGTAAAAAACTGTTGAATGAATGAATGAATGAATGAATAATGAAACAAAACACTATTCACAGTTTTAGTCTATGTTTCCAGTTTTTCTATACATTTATATATGTCTATACTTAATACTTAATTTTCAGCATAAATTGCACATATCATTAAGAAATAGAACTCATTGTTATTAATAACTGCATAGATTTCCAAGTATACAGGTGCCTTGAATGGGTTCAAGGTTAACAAAACTGAAGTTTTCCTTTCCTCCACCAAAACCTGCTACTCCTCTTATTGTCCTCCATCCTACCATCAGCTCAATTTTCCAGGCCGGAAACATGGCAATTACCATGGACTTCTGCCTTTTTTATACCCTTAAAGAAGTCTAATCAGAAATACTTATTTCTACCTCTTCAGTATCTCTTAAATCCATCTATTTCCCTTGACCCCCATTGCCACAATCTTATTTTCAGATTCTCATCACTTTGCACATGGAAACCATGGACAGTGTCCTAATGGATTTCTCTCCTACTCTACCCTCACAAATCCTTACCTACAAACTGCAGTTAGAATGATCTTCCCAAAGTATAAAGCCAATTGTGACAATTCCCTGTTTAAAATCTTTTAATGTCTCTGTAGTTACTACATGATTGAGTTCAAGCTCCTTCGAAAGGCCACAGGGCCATCCATGACCTTGGTCTGTCCTCTCACATTTACCACTCACCATCAGGTCCCCTTGTGCTAAAAGCATTCTACACCACTTCGAATTTCTCCCAAAGCATCTTATCTCTTATCTGTGCCCAACCATGTGCCTCAGATGCCTGTTTGTCCCCTTTGCCTCCTATTTACAGTCTAAGGCTCAGTTTAAGCACTGCCTTGTCCAGGAAGTATTCTCTGACCCTCCCATTTTGGGTAAGATCATCCGCCTTGATACTCCCCAACCAGCCTGTGCACAGCACTGAAAAATACTGTTTGTTTTTCTGTCTCTCCCACTGAAATGAGAGCTCCTTGAAGATTACTTCTCTTTGTATTCATAGGGCCTAGCACAGTGCCAGGAACACAGTTTTAATAATTTGGTGAATGCATAAGTAAACATAAAATATGTTAAAAAAATATATATATATAAATATATATATTATATATATTATATATATTATCTTAAATATATATGTTATCTTAAAATATATATTTATATATATTTTATATAAAAATATTATAAATATTTTTATTTATTAAAATATAAATAAAAATATTTAAAAAATATTTAAATACTTAATATATATATATATTATCTTAAAAAAAAAAAAGGATAGGCTTCTTTGTGAAATTATAAAGAGGTGAGAGTAGAAGCAGGATCACCAGTTAGACATATGCATTAATCCAGGTTGCCTTCCACAAGTGCCCCAAATGGTAATGAGAAACCTGCATCCCAGGTGTGTGCCCTTAACTGGAATTGAACCTGCAATCCTTTGGCTGACTAACTACTGAGCCCACCATCCAGGGCTGAAAACAGATTTAAAACATAGGATGTTTTTCTGCAGAATGATAACGGTTTTAACCTTTGAAACAATCTTGTGAAATAGGTATTATTAACCCATTTTACAAATGAGGACATTGGGACAGAGATAAACCAAATAATCTGCCCTGTTATACACCAACAAGCCAAGACCTGAACTCTATACAGCCCATGCTACTTTCATGTATCATCTAGCTCCTTTCTTAAGAGGAAGAGGCTGGGGGCACCAAAGCAAACATCAGAAAACAAAAATTATGGCATGAAGACCGAGCAAGCCCTGGAGGCCATCCAAGAGAGGAGTTAGAGTATAATCCATGCAGGGTATAGCTCCTGTGGGATGGAGAATATCAGGATTAGTCTCTGAGGCAGCAGGCCTAATTCAATGATTCTTTGTGGCTGATTCTTAGAGACCCCATCTGGGAGAAGTGTGAAGAGGAGGAGAAAAATCCAGGAGTACAGCCCTCCCAGGTCTCCCACTGCCACTTCAAGTCAAGAAATGACAGTATTATCCACATCCGTGTGGAGGTGACCACAGCCCAGGGTGCTTTTCACAGCTACCTGGGCTCCCCTTTCTGGATCCACCAGGCTGGTAAGAGCTTTCTTCCTTTCTGCTCCCACATAGCCCCTCCCCCGACTGCATCGGACCCTGTGCCCAGAATCACCAACTCTTGACACTTCTGACCCATGGCCCTGGCGGCATGATGTCCCATGCACAGAAGGGCTTAGGCCAGTCCCGATGACATCCCTGTAGTGCGCATCTCCACTCCAAACTTGCACTGGAGGGAGGTCTCCAGCGGGCAGCTGGAATTGAAGTGGCAGCACCCATCATCCTGGGCAGCCCAAGAGATCTGCTATCAGCTCCGATACACGGGAGAAGGCCATCAGGACTGGAAGGTAAGGCCAAGGAACAAATGCCCACAGACCTCACCCTACAGGGTATTCCTGAGTTTCATCACACCTGTTATCAGGGGCGAGGGCATCCATGTGTCCATGTCTAGGCTTGCATATCTGTGTTTATATGATTCAACTGGTATCTTAACTTCTCTTTGGCATCCGATACTGCTGACTACTCCCATTTAATATTTTCTCTTCCCTTTGCGGCCGGGATACCTGTCTCTCCTGATTCTCCTGCTGTCTCTCGGACCAAACCTTCTCATTCTCCTTTCCTGGCTCTTCCTTCTCCACCCTTCCTTGATATGTTGTGCTTCCTACAGGCCCATCCTAGACTCTTTTCTAGATAAACTTAGTATACACTTTCCTTAGGTCAGTGGTAGGCAAACTGTGGCTCGTGAGCCACAGGTGGTCCTTTGGCCCTTTCAGTGTGGCTCTTCCACAAAATACCACGGCCTGGGAGAATCTATTTGGAAGAAGTGGCATTAGAAGAAGTTTAAGTTTAAAAAATTTGGCTCTCCAAAGAAATTTCAATCGTCGTACTGTTGATATTTCGCTCTGTTGACTAATGAGTTTGCCGACCACTGTCTTAGGTGAATGCTTCAACTCCATGATTTTAACAACCTTATATTAACCATCCCAGACTTACCATATGGGAATAAACTTCTACCACAGGCAAATTACTTAAACATTTGAAGTCCCAATTTTCTTATTGGTGAAATGAGAATAAATATATCTATCTCCCAGAATTACAGTAAAGATTAATTATTTAAATACCTAGCACACTGTCTGGCAGATAGAAGGTACTCATATACATTAGTTAAATCTTAGTTTCTTTCTCTACTTTTATTCTTATTTACCACCTACATAGCATATAAAACTTCTTACCAGATAGATCTACCTAAAGCCAACACAGGCATTTCAGACTCATACAAGTAGTCCCCCCTTATCTGTGGGAGATCATTCAAAGACCCCTAGTAGAGGACTGAATCCATGGACAGCACCGAAGCAAATGTATACTATGTTTTTTCCTATAAATACCTACATACACCTTATGGTTTCTCTTTGGCATATCCAAATTACCAGCATTGCTACTCTTGCACTTTGGAGCTATTAAGTAGAATAAGGGTTAGTTGAACACAAGCATTGCAATACCTTGACAGCTATATAGGGACTATCAGGCAGGACAAAGGGATGATTCTCATCTTGGGTGAGATGGAGCAGGATGGTGTGAGCTCTCATCATGCTACTCAGAATGGCAGGCATTTAAAAACTTACAAATTAGCCCCAGCCAGTTTGACTCAGTGGATAGAGCTTCGACCTTCGGACCAAAGGGCCCGGGGTTCGTTGTAGTCTCCTCCCCAGCCTGGACCCTGGTTAGGCAACCAATCAATGTGTTTTTCTGTCTTCCCCTCTCTCTCCCTCTCTCCCTAAAAACCAGTAGAAAAATATCCTCAGGTGATCATTAATAACAACAAATAAAAATAAAGATATATAAAACAGCTTAAGGGAAGCCACTACAGTTAGGTACATTAAAAAAATAAATTTAAAAAAACTTACAAACTTTATTTCTGTAATTTTTTATTTAATATTTTTAGAACATGATTGACTAGGTAATTGAAACCATGCAGAGTGAGACCATGAATAAGGAGGGACTACTATATATCCAAAACTTAACTCATTTATGCAGTTGATTAATTTATACATGTGTATACACTCATGTAATCATTATCCAGACCACAATGTTATTTCTAGCACCCCGGAAGCCCCTCATACCCCTATAGTCACACACCTCCCTTCCCAGGTAATATTCCAACATTACTATTGATAAGTTTGATTATTGTTGAACTTGATAAAATGGAACCATACAATATTTCTTCCTTAAACTTATTTCTCCTCTGTACCCTGTCTCTGACAATGGCACCACCACTTACCCAGTTACGCAAGCCTGGAACCCTCCTTGATTCTTCTTCCTTTTGCCTTGTCTCTTCCCCCTAATTATTAACAAGTTGAATGTTTTGTACTAACTGTCCTCCAGCCCTCCTACCACTGCCTTAGCCTCATCTCTGACTGTCCAGCCTGCCTACTGAACTACTCTGCAGTCCCCAATCAAGCAACTCAGGCAGTACTAAATGCTCCTTTGTGCTCCTGGTGCTTTACTTATATCATTAGTATAGCACTAATTACTCGTAATCATTTACTTTTTTTGCATGTCTTCCTGAGTAGTCATGCAAGGGACCATGTGTCATTTACCTTCTTCCCCAGTGCTAGCCCCGTACTTGGCGTATCACAAGCAGTTCATAAAAGCTTGCTAGATGATTAAGTTCATAAACTTTCCCTGCTTGTGCACAGGATACTTGTACCCTCTGCTTGGAATCTGTCCTTGGAAGCAAAATTCTGGCATCCTCTGCTGAATGCGTGTGACTTGCCAAGGATCCTTAGTGTTTGAGTGTCTGGGATTTCATTGCTTCCGACGGGTCATGTGTCCCAGCCAGTGTGCGTGCACCAGGGTCTCTGTAAAGAGTATCGTGTGTATTTGTGTCGGGATGAGTAGTTCTCTACGCAGAGGAGGTCTGCGTGTCAGGGTGTCAGGGTGTCAGGGTGCGCTTCTCTCGAGGTGGGCTTGCCTCGGGCATAGTGAGGCCGCAAGGAAGGGGAGACGTTCTGTCTTTAAGTTCCCGCAGGGATGCATGCTTCCTGTCAGTGAGGCATTTTGAAGGGATCCCCTGAGTTTCAAAATGGTAGGGTTTGGGACCAACAAATGCGGATCTCTTAAGGGCCGGATGCCCGCCCATCCGCACCTTCTCGCTTGTCCTCTGCGCAGGTGCTGGAGCCGCCCCTGGGGGCCCAGGGAGAGACCTTGGAGCTGCGCCCGCGCTCCAGCTACCGGTTACAGCTGCGCGCCAGGCTCCACGGCCCCACCTACCGAGGCCCCTGGAGCGCCTGGTCCGCCCCGGCGAGGGTGGAGACCGCCTCGGAGACGGGTGAGGGCCCCGCCGGGGCACAGGCGGTCTGCGGCTGCGCAATTGGAGGGCGCCCGCACTGCGCACGCGCGGCACCCGAGTCGACGAGGGGCGGGGCCGGGGCGGAGTTGGGCGGGGCGGGGCGGGGCGGGGCTACGGCCAGGGGTGGCGGAGGTCTGACTGTTTCCATCCCCGCAGCCTGGATTTCTCTGGTGACCGCTCTGCTCCTGGTGCTGGGCCTCAGCGCTCTCCTGGGCCTGCTGCTGCTGAGATGGCAGTTTCCTGCGCACTACAGGTACCGCCCGAGTCAGGCCGGACATGGGCCGTGGGCAAGGCGGTGCCGGAGGCCTCGAAAGAAGCATCCCAAACCTTTTGACACCCACTTTCTGGACAAGTGCAAGCCCACACCTGTGGCCTCAGCTGCGTCCTGCAGGTCTCCCCTGGGAGTCGCACCGCTTCCTAACGCTCTGACCATGTTCACTGTACTGGACGCCTCAGACTGCCCCACTTCCTGACTCCTCAGTCTCAGGAACAAAGCTACTGTCCACCTGTCACCCGAGCCATAACACTTGGGTGCCTCCCTCCTCCTTATCCAGTCTGATCTGGGCTGGTCATTTCGCCACCTCAACCTCGCTCCAACAATGGCTCCTTTTCTCTAGCCCTGCATGCACTACCTAACTCACGGAAACAGAGCCTTTTCTCCCTCCAGTTTGTCCCACCCAACCATTCTTTCTAAAATGCACACATGAATTTATCATGCACCTCTTTAAATCTCTGTATAGCTTCCCAGGATAGAGTTCAGGTTCTAGAATGACAAGCAAAGCTCCACCAGATCTGGCCCCTGCCAGCATTCCCATCTTCTCCCACCCTGTTCATCAGTCTTGCCAAACTGTTGATGATTTCCTCCACAAGTCAAGCGGTTTTATTTCTCAGGGCCTTTGCACATTATGTACCCTCTATCCGGAATATTCTCCATGGATGACTACTGCCCATTTATCTTTAAATAACTCTGTTCGCCGACTCCTGGGAAACCTTTCCTAGCCCTTCTCTATTTGCTCCTCCCTTCGTACCCCTGGACAGACTTCTATCATAGTACCAGTAGCATTCTACTACATTTGTTTCATTATGTCTTCCCTAAACCTTATGTGATTGTCTTTATTTATTTCTTAAAAATATATTTTATTGATTTACAGAGAGGAAAGGAGAGGGGATAGAAAGTTAGGAACATCGATGAGAGAGGAACATCGATCAGCTGCCTCCTGCATACCCCCCACTGGGGATGTGCCTGCAACCAAGGTACATGCCCTTGACCGGAATCAAACCTGGGACCCTTGAGTCCGCAGGCCGACACTCTATCCACTGAGCCAAACCGGTTTGGGCTATGGTTGTCTTTAAATCCTCAGTACAGTGTATGCCAAATAGCACACCCTTAAATAAATGTTATTAATAAATGACTTATTTATGTGGGAAGACTAAGGTTAAAGAGAAATGTCATTGGAAGTTATAAGCAGAAAACATAGACTTCATACCACCTCAGTCTTTCAATTGGTAATTTCTTTTGATTCTTGAAGACTCAGCTCAGAAAGCAAGTCCTCAAAGCAGCTTTTTTTTAAAAAATATATTTTTTATTGATTTTTTACAGAGAGGAAGAGAGAGGATGGAAAGTTAGAAACATCAATGAGAGAAAAACATCGATCGGCCGCCTCCTGCACACCCCCTACTGGGGATGTGCCCACAACCAAGGTACATGCCCTTGACCGGAATCGAACCCGGGACCCTTCAGTCCACAGGCCGACACTCTATCCACTGAGCCAAACCAGTTTTGGCAAGGCAGCTTTTTTTGATGGTCCTAAGCTATCATCTCTCTTTGAACATACCTGTCTTTGAACTTTTAATATGCAGGTGGGAATGTAGCCTGTATGCAGGTAGCCAGATCCAACAAAAAAGGGGGAAAAGAGGAGGTGGTGCTCCTTTTTCCCCATTTACCAGATAACTCACTCCTTCTCCCTGGAGAGATATGAGTGAGGTTCACAGAAGAGGCCTGAAATGTTGTTTAGCTAAAGTCCCTCCATGTGGAAATACGAACCTAAAGAACCAGCATACTTTAATCCATACTCTTCCCAGATAGATCACCTTCTCCCGTGACTTAATAATAAGCCCCACTGGCTCTCTTCATTCATTCATTAAGCTAATTACCTGAGCACCTATTACGGGCCACACTCTGTTCTGCACACTGGAAGTACAGAAGTGAGCAAATACACAAACTCTTTGCTCTCATGGAGCTTACATTCTTCTAATGGGGTGAGACAAAAAAAAAAAAAAATAGATACAATAGCCGAAACTAGTTTGGCTCAGTGGTAGAGCATCGGTCTGGTCTGCAGACTGAATGGTGCCAGGTTCGATTCCCGTCAGGGGCATGTACATTGGTTGCAGGCACATCCCCGGTGGGGGGTGTGCAAGAGGCAACTGGTCGATGTTTCTCTTTCATCGACGTTTCTAGCTCCCTCTCTCTCTCCCTTCCTCCTCTCTGTAAAATATCAATAAAATATATATTTTTAAAAATAGATACAATAACCATAAATACACAATAAGTCAAATGTTATAAAGAAAAATAAAGCAGAGCAGAAGATAAAGTAATGGGGAAGAGAAGTGGTACTGTTTTAGCAGGGTAGTCAGGGAAGACCTCTTTGTCAGGATGGCATTTGAACGGAGACCTAAATGAAGCGAGGAGAATAAATTGAGTGTTCCAGACAGAGCAAAAAGGAAGTGCAAAGGCCCTGAAGCAGAATGTTTGAGGTCACCCTGTACCACTCCTTTTTTTTAATGTCCCACCTGAGGTTTCCTTTGCACCTATGCTCTTGCTTTTATTACCTTGACTACACTCTTACCTCTCCAAGGTTTACTCGCCCACCTCAGAGCCTCCCCACTGCCCCACCTCAATGTTCTCCTCCCTCCCACCTCACTCCCATGTCTCAATCTCCTTTTTACCTTCTCTCCCAGGAGCCTGAGGCATGCCCTGTGGCCCTCACTTCCAGACCTGCACCGGGTCCTAGGCCAGTACCTTAGGGACACTGCAGCCCTGAGTCCGGTGAGTGCACTCCTCTCCCTCTTACCTACCACAAGTCCTACAAGGAGCTGGATCCTGCACACACAACAACTTTTCCAAGGCCATTGCCTACCAGTGCTCCATCAGCCTAGGCCTACCCCAAGCCAAACCCTCCTTCCTACACAATTTGGGTCTTCTGGCATAGGGAGCTGCTAATCCACCCCCCTTCCCTCTCATCTCTCCCAGCCCAAGGCTGCAGTCTCAGATGTCTACGAAGAAGTGGAACCCAGCCTCCTTGAGATTCTACCTAAGTCCTCAGAGAAGACTTCCCTGCCCCTGTGTCCCTCCCAGACCCAGAAGGACTACCGAGGACTGCAGCCCTCTTGCCTGGGGACCATGCCCCTCTGCATTTCCAGTGTGCACCTGCCCTCGGCTGAGTCGGGATCCTACTGCACCACTCACATTGCCAACCATTCCTATTTACCACTGACCTGTTGGCAGGCTCCTCGCTCCCAGTACCCTGGACAGATCCAAACCCTCTAGACGTTTCTTCCCACCCTCTCTACCTAACCTATCCCACCCCACCCCATACACACCTCAGACCTCACTTCCACCCTCTTTGTGGACCCTTGTAGCTGGGTTTCACAACACTGTCTTGCAGTACTGCTGATGACATAAATCCAGGAGCCTCTTTCCTCAGGCAAGGCTCATTTATTTGATTAAGCTTTAATTTCTTCCACCTTCTTTCTCTCACCCCTTTAATGCCACACTTGCCCACTTCTCGTTTGCTTTTTGGACTACTTCAATTAGTTCTCCTACTACAAATTTGCTAAAGAAACTGCCCAGGCAAAGTTCATCTCAAACTTTCTAATTGCAAGATCCAGTAGGATCTTGTTAACCCTCCATTTATCTCATCTCTCTGTGGCATTTGTTCCATGACTACTTGTTTCTTCTTTAAATTCTCTCCTACCTTGGCTTCTGTGACATTATGGTCTCTCCTGGTTCTGCTCCTCCAATAGTTAAGAGCACAAACCCTGGAGTCAGCACTGAGTTCAATTCCTGTCATCCCACTTACTAGCTGTGGCCAAATAAAGTCTTTGAGCCTTAGGAACCCTACAGAGTTGTGAAGAGGATTAAGTGAGATAATCTAAGCACAGTGCCTAGGATATAGTGTTGAATATATCTGAATGGTCATAATTATTCTTTCTTCTTCTCTTATCCTGGCATCTCTTCTACTCCTTAATTATAGCAGTCTCTCAAGAATCCATTCTTTTTATTTCTTTTTTGTTTTAGTTAATGCTCACCCAAGGATGTTTTTTTCCATTGATCTTTTAGAGAGAATGGATGAGAGAGGGAAAGACAGAGAAAAACAGTTTGATTGGTTGCCTCCTGCAAATGCCCCAACCAGGGCCTAAGCCAGGGAGGAGCCTGCAGCCAAGGTTCGTGCCCTTGACCAGAATCAAACTCTTTGGTCCATAGGCTGATGCTTTATCCACTAGGCCAAACTGGCTAGGGCTCAAGAGTTCATTCTAACAGTCTCCAATTCCATCCATTTTCATTGCCTTTACTCTATGCTGACCAAAGTTCTAGTTCCCAGCCCAGATTTCTACTACAGCACCTGTGATGCCTATGCAAGCAACTATTTGCATGCCTGTCTCCTGCTACTATGATTGTGAGCTTCTTGAGGGCCAAGGCTCTGATTTGTCTTCTTCCCCCTCCCTCGTCCCTCATGTTCCCCCCCACTGCCACCCCCCCCCCCCCCCCCCAGTGCTTGGTGCATGGGAGTAACCCTTCAATAAATGTTTTCTAAATGAATTAAATCTTTCTGGACACCATCATCTTAACCCCATGCCAACCTCCCTCATCCTCTAAGCCAGTGGTCGGCAAACTGTGGCTCTCGAGCCACATGCGGCTCTTTGGCACCTTGAGTGTGGCTCTTCCACAAAATACCATGGGCCTGGGTGAGTCTATTTTGAATAAGTGGCATTAGAAGAAGTTTAAGTTTAGAAAATTCGGCTCTCAAAAAGAAATTTCAATCGTTGTTCTGTTGATATTTGTCTCTGTTGACTAATGAGTTTGCTGACCACTGCTCTAAGCCTTTCATATACAGCATGTGCTTCAGCCATTCTGGCTAGAGATGATTCTCTTGATCCATTCAAATTCTCAAACAAGGGTGTTTTTTAGTTGTTGGTGTTTTTTGGTTTTGTTTTGTCTTGTTTTGTGTGTGTGTGTGTGTGTGTGTGTGTGTGTGTGTGTTTTGGGGGGGAGGTTGTTTGTTTTTCTAGCCCCAAACATACCCATTGTATCAATCAGGGTCTTGGCAAAAAAAAAAGATGGCACACTCAAACTGGGTATCTTGATGAGAGTTTAATATTTATAAAGATGAGACAGGATTTATTAAAATCATCAAGGAAAAGTGCAATATCCCAGGACTAACAACAACTGGGAGCTGGTTCCACCCCTAGGCATCAAAGGATAAGGAGAGAGAGTAGTTACTAAACCTGGGGAGAGTAGCTGTGAAAGAGGGCTGCTTGCCTATCCATTTAAGTAGAGAGATACAGCCAACCTGTGGAGACATGACAGGGAGGGAGCCAGGGGAATAAATAGCTCAAGGTCACTCTTCTCCCACCCTCTGATCTTTGTATTTGCTAGGGTTAAACAACAAAAATGATTGTCTCACAGTTCTGGAGGCTAGGAGTTCAAGGTGTCAGCAGGATTGGTTCCTTCTGAGGCTGGGAGACACAATCTCCCCTAGCTTCTGGTGGTTTCCTGGCAGACTTTGGCAGACCTTGTCTTGGTAGAAACATCACCCTTATCTCTGTCTTCATTTTCCCATGGCATTCTCCTTGAGTGTGTGTGTATGCCTAAATTTCCCCATTTTATAAGGACACCAGACATACTGGATTAGGGCCCTCCCAAATGACCTCATCTTAATTACATCTGCAATGACCCTATTTCCAAATAAGGTCACACTCTGAAGCACTGGGACTTAGGAATTCAACATATGAATTTGGGGGACACAATTCAACCCATAATATCCTCCCACTGGTGGAACGCAAACAGAAACCAAAGCCCAAGGAAATCCATTGACACAGGCCGTATGAATCATCCTCATAGGGCACAGGGCAGGGTGGAGAAGGATGAAGAGTGGGTCTGGATGGGACAAATGGATGACATCCAGTGTACTAATTTTCCATCATTCCTTCCCCTCGTCATATTCAAGGCTCTGACTTTATTCCTAGGGACTCAAGACAGGGATGAGGCCCAAACCACTGAACCTCTCACCTTCACACCCACTCTACCATCATGTCCTGATCACTTTTACTTCTTAAATTCCATTTCCTCTATCTCCACTCAACTACATACAGCCGTTTAACTAATATCTTTGCCTGTTTTATAAAATATATTTTTATTTCAGAGAGGAAGGGAGAGGGGGAGATAGAAACATCAATAATGAAAGAGAATCATTGATTGGTTCTCCTGCATGCCCCTCACAGGGGATCAAGCCCGCAACCTGTGCAAGTGCCCTGACTGGGAATTGAATTGTGACTTCCTGATTCATAGGATGATGCTCAACCACTGAGCCACATGGTAGTCCCTCTTTATTTTTAAAAAATATATTTTATTGATTTTTTTACAGAGAGGAAGGGAGAGGAATAGAGAGTTAGAAACATTGATCAGCTGCCTCCTGCATACCCCCTACTGGGGATGTGCCCGCAACCAAGATACATGCCCTTGACCTGAATCGAACCTGGGACCTTTCAGTCCACAGGCTGATGCTCTATCCACTGAGCCAAACTGGTTTGGGTGGTAGTCCCTCTTTAGATCTCTCTAGTTTCAACCTGTATGTTGCCTCCAGGTTGATCTTCCTATTAATCTCACTCCTTACCTTTGATTCTTCAGAATTTGATTTCTTTCTCTTCCACTACTTACTAATGTGAGGATTAAAAAATGTTAACACAATGCCAAGCATATAATGAATACTTAGTGTTTATTAAGCTATTTTTATTATCCCAATTAAGTGGTTCCACCCCCTGAATATTTTATTCCTTCCATATCCTCTGCTTCCCTAGATTCAAGTCCTTCAGGTATGAGTCCCATCTGCACCGCCCCCCCCCCCCCCATCTAACCAGCTCCTCAGCCTCTAATTATCCATCTCAAAGCCTTGTTCTCCTTGCCTCTAGCCTAAGAGAAAGTGATATTTCTCTCCTAGACTGGAAAAGCTCCCTGTGTTTTCTATCCCAGTTTCCTTGTTCTGTCAGCTGGCCCTTGCCTTGCCCCTTTCACCTCTCCTGACCCTTGCCTTCACCTTCAAAAAGACATAGGCCTCACCCTAGTCAGTTTGGCTCAGTGAATAATGCATCAGCCTGTGCACTGAAGGGTCCTGGGTTCAACTCAGGTCAAGGCATGTACTTCTATTGCAGGCTTGATCCTCGGCCCTGTTGGGGCATGTGTGCGAGGCAACCAATCGATGTGTGTCTCTCATATCTATGTTTCTTTCTCTGTTTCCCTCCCCCCTCTTCCATTCTCTCTAAAAATCAATGGGAAAATATCTTTGGGTGAGGATTAACAACAACAAAAAAAGGACATGTGACTCTTGGTGCTATTATTCCCTCAAACTCCCATTGCACTGCACCTTTTTCACTCCCAGATTTCTCACACAAGTAGGCCGTGCTTGCTGCCTTCATATTCTCCCCACCCTTCTTTCTGCAACCTTTCCAATTGGAACCTGAGCATTCACTCTCCTGGTCCCACTCTCTCCAAGGTCACTGATAATTTGTTTCTCAAGAGCTATATCTGACCTCTTCGGTCATCATTCTGCTTAACTATTTTGCATCATATTAGAATTCTTCCCATTTCAAGGTCCATGTCAGTGTAATGTGGCTTCTTTCATTCCTTTATTTTGAAATGTATGAATTCCTTGAGGTTGTACCTTTATTTACCCTATCCTTATTCTCTGCAGTTAACCCTACTTCAGAAGCTGCAAACTGCTACCCATGTCCCACCCTCAGATATGTTTTGTTTGGCCCTTCCCTACACAGAAAACTCTCACTGATAAAACAAGTCCAAACTCAGTTTAACATTTAAGGCCCTGACCAACCTGATTCTAGACTACATTTCCTATGTAAATGGGACTCCTCATTTAAAACCCCAGGACATCCAACTCCTTGTTTTCCAAGGTAATTGGAAACAGAGAACATAAACACTTAAAAATCAAAGATAACAGTATTAAATTTGGGCTAAGAGCACCAGATTTTTCTCTGTCATCATCAAAGTTCACTCTACTACTTATTTTTGTTTGTCTGTTTTGTTAATTCTTACCACAAGATTTTTTTTTCCCCATTGATTTTTAGAGTGAGTGGAAGGGAGGAGGGAGTGAAGGTAAGAGAGAGAAACATCCACATGAGAGAGACACATTGGTTGGATGCCTCCCACAAGCATTCCAACCATCCATGGCCAGGATCCAACTTGAACCTGCAACCCAGGTGTGCCCTTGACCGAGACCCTTCAGTGCTAAGGCAGATGCTCTAACCATTGAGAAA